AGAACAGCAAGCAACAAATGCTGGTGAGGTTGTGGAGAAACTGGAACCCTTATTCACTGTTGGTGGGAGTGTAAAATGGTGCAACCACTGTGGAAGGCGATGTGGGGCTTTCTCCAAAAGTTGCAAATAGAGATACCATTTGACCTAGCAATTCCACTACTGGGAATATACCCCAAAGAGACCACAATTGCCACCAAAGCAGATAAATGCACACTCATGTTTATCGCAGCTTTGTTCACAATAGCAAGGAGCTGGAAACAACCTAAGCGCCCATCAACAAACAAATGGATAGAGAAGTTGTGGTGTATTCACACAATGGAATACTACGCTGCACTGAAAAACAAAGAACTCATGCAATATTATTCAAAATCGGAGACCCTTGAAGACATTATGCTGAGTGAAATATTTCAGTCACAAAAGGACAAATACTGCATAGTGCCACTGCTGTAAAACAGGACTGACCACAGGGTTGGGGGAAGATTGAGAAAGATGGGATAAATAATGTATACTGCACTGAAACAGATGAGGGAGAAAACTGTTTAATAGGGATATATGATTAGGTATTACTGTTATGACAGGAGTCCAGAATGAAGGCTGCATAGTGGAGTGGACCTGGGGGGAGGGATTGAAAAACAATGAAACAATTTTTCCTTTACTTTTCAAAGAGAAGAGTCTACTGGGGGAGCAAAGGGGGTCAGGGAGAAAAATGCAACAATGAATGAATGGAAATCCAAAGTCTCTGTAAATTTTCATTAAAATTAATAATAATAATAAAAATAAATAACAGCCAAGCAGAAAAAAAAAGGCTATGTATTTCTCCATAGCTGTTTAATCTGTATTATAAGCAAATTCTTCAGGAAGCTGGACTCTATCTATGAAGAAGAATGTGGCATGAGGAAGGAGGAAGATTCACAATTAACCTTCATTATGTGGGTGACACAACCTTGCTTGCTGAAAGTGAAGAAGAATTAAAGCACTTGCTGTAGAATGTTAAACACTGCTTCTTTAAATATGGATTGCATCTCAATGTCAAGAAAACAAAAATCCCCACCACTGGACTAACAGCCAACATTATAATAGATGGAGAAAAGATTGAAACTGTCAATGACTTCATCTTACTTGGATCTACAATCAATATACTTGGTATCAGCAGTCAGGAGATCAGGAGATGTATTACACTGGGAAAGGCTGTGGTCAGAGACCTCTTGAAATTATAAAGGAGCAACGCTGTCAGTTGGGAGGACTAAGGTGTGTCTCATTCAGGCCATGTTTTTTTCAGTCACTTGCTATTCATCTGAGAGCTGGACAATGAGTAAAGTTACAGAAAAACTGTTGCCTTTGAACTGTGGTGTTGAAGAAGAGTGCTGAATAAACTGACGAACTGCCAAAGGAACAGGTACGTCTTAGAGAAGGTGCAGCCAGAGTGTTCCTTGGAGGCAAGAATCGCGAAGCTTCTTCTTGCATACTTTGGGCAGGTTGCTAGGAGAGGATATTCCTGGGAGAGGGACATCATGCTTGGAAAGCCGAAGGGATGGCAAAGAAAAGGAAGACCCTAAACCAGGTGGACTGATGCAGTGCCTGCAGGAATGGGTCTAATCTCAGAGATTTTGAGGTTAGCACAGGATACAACAGGATTCAGATACATACATTATTCAGTGGGTCACCACTATGAGTCATACTTGACTTGATAGCACCTAAAACAATATGTTGTTTTTAACTTTTTAGCTAATGTTAGATGGATCTTGGCTGAAAGCAGAGAGTAACAGAGGAATGTCTATCTGTGTTTCACTGACAATGCAAAGACATTTGACTGTGTGGATCACAACAAACTGTGGTTGACTCTGAGAAGAATGGGAATCCCAGAACATTTGATTGTGCTTATGTGAAACTTATACTTCAACCAGGAGGCAGTCATCAGAACAGAGCAAGGAGACACTGCATGGTTCAAAATCAGGAAAGGTGTCCACCAGGGTTGTATTCTGTCTTCATACCTGGGCTGTATGAGGAGGAATGTGGCATCAGGATTGGAGAAAGATTCATCAACAACCTGTGTTACATAGATGATACAAGCCTGCTTGCTGAAACTGAGGAGGACCTGAAGTGCTTGCTACAGAAGATCAAGGACTGAGCCTTCAATATGGACTGGAGTACAACATCAAGAAAAAAAGATTCTCACCATTGGGCCAATAAAGAGATTGAGATTCTTAACAGTTTTAGTTTGCTTGGCTCCACAATCAACACTCTTGGTACCATCAGCAGGAAATCAAAAGATGAATCACATTGGGAAAGTCTGCTGTCAGAGATCTCTCCAGAGTACTGAAGAGCAACGATGCCAGTAAAGAGATTAAGGTGCACCTGATCCAAGCCATAGTCTTCGCAATTGCTTGCTATGCATCAGAAAATGACTAGAGATGATAGAAAGACTTGATGACTTAGAGTTGTGGTGCTGGAGAAGAGTACTGAACATACCATGGACTGCCAGGAGAATAAACAGGTTCATCCTAGAGAAGGTGAAACCAGGCTGCTCCTTGCAAGCAAGAGTTCTAAAGCTTTGTCTGACATACTT